AGTGTATATCATCTTTCTTAATTTCAACTATAGTTACCTTCTTGGTTTTCTGCTGCGCTAACTTAACAAATCTTCCGCTGATTTACAATTATCACTGTCAATACTGCTAACTAAACGAGCTTCTTAACACTTCCATCGAGATCAGCAACAACATCTTTCCCATGACTTGTAGCAAAGGAATTCCAACTTAAAGCTACTTTACATTCATGAGCAAGCTGAATTAAATTACGAAGCATAAAACGTTGCTTGCACTTTGAATTTCGCCTTGCTTTTTCAATCCAAAATTTTCTGCAAAACCAACTTGTATAACGACGTTTTCATCTGTTACTTCTGACTTTAACTGTTTCAAATATTTACGCTGTTCACGCTTCACGTAGACATGAAAGAGAAAATATTTAACTTTAGTTTTCAACAATTCAACAGCTTCATCAACTGATCATTCAAATTCCTTTTTTTCTGCACGTCCGTATATTTTAACCCATTTTCGCCATTTACTTCCAGTTGTTGCATCTACAACATTATCAATAAGTTGCTCTCGAAAATTATTTCACATAATGGGCATGCAAGGAACATGTATTCTTGATTGACAGTATTACAAACAGGTATGCACCAGTTACAGTTTTTGGACGGTTAACTGTAACTGTCATAACTGTAAAACTGTAACTATCATAATTGTTAGGAAAATAGTAGCAGATATTTGGCGCAGATATTCGCCAAGTGGAAAGATGGAAGACATCGTATTTGATACATCCCGAAAAGTTTTGTACAAATATATTACGAACCAAGACCAAAATGCTAAACACTCTTTTCGACAGTTTTACCCTTTTCTCAGTTGCAGTTATAACAGTTAAAGTTTTATAGTTAAATGTAACTGTTGCCTGCCTAATGTTCTTACATTGCTCAGTACAGAAATAGATGCGATTTTGTCGACTGAAACAATTATCTTCATAGACGTAACTAACCTCTGCTAATTCTATAGAAAAGCTAAATATATGTTCTTTTTTTGCCCTTACTCTGAAACCTATGCTAACAGTACAACTATAACTCATTCTGAACTATTTTCCGAATAATTATAATAGTTACAGTTATAACAGTTATACAGTTATGACAGTTACAGTTTTACAGTTAACTGTAACTGGTGCATGCCTAATTGCAAATCAAAGTCCCTGTAAATTGTTGTAAAGACGAAGGAATATTTTCTTTAACGAACTTATCAATTGCTTTCAGTAATAGAGTAACGTTTTATGATTAATATGATAGATACACACATTACTCTCACAGAAAATTAAAGTGTAGAACGCTAGGACAAGCCGTTCAGCGCTTCACGACTTTTTGTTGAGAACATAGTAGCTTTCCAAACTTCAGTACATTTTTCCTTCTCGGTTGATAGAAGTAATGAAACCCAAAATATTTTGAAACATGCTTTTGCTGAGATGTACATTACGGTGCTTTTCTGCTGAAGCTATGTGTAAATCCATCTGTGCGTTTTTAATTCTAAAGTTACCTCCTCTCTACGCTATCTAAATAGGGCACAGTGCGCAATTTTCGATAGGCACGTGGACATTTGGTTTTTAACCAACCTATCATATTCAAAACACACTCTAAATAGGTTTTCTAATATGCCCTTTCCAATGGAACAGTTTTTGCGACTATACGGTGCTCTGGAACTATACGGTTCTCTTTTTAGAAAATCTTGTGGTTTTTCATGGTGTAAAACCGAGTAAGAAAACTAATTTTGATTTGAAGTTTATTTTTTCTAGATTTTCGAGTGTGTGCTATCATAAGGAATAGTTTTTAAAGCTTCATAGTGCTTTGGAGTCGGTTTTCTGAAAATCTTTCGAGTTTTTTAAGTTTAAAAAAGTTATAAACTCTCTGTTTTGGCTTGAAATTTGTTTTTTTATAGATTTTCTGTTTAGTAAGTTCGAATCTGATGAAAACGAAATTGCTGAAACTACTACAAAGTCTTTGGAGACTTGGCTTTTCAGAAAACCTTTTTGCTGATACAAAAATATGTTATTTTCTGCTGTATAGACACCGATTTTCTCTACATATACATAACAGAAAAACATGCGACAGCTACCTCAGTACCCTCCACCACCCCTTAACTGTTTATTTTTCCTTAGATATTTTTGGTCAAAAATACAAAATCCTTCTTCTATCCGAGACACTAACACAACAAAACACAAAAAAAACATGCCAAAAAATTTACTACTGCTAACATCGAGTCGATTGCATAACTTCAATCGTTGTACAGAATATAGATATAGACCGGTGAATTTAGTTTTGTAGTTTACTACAAAGCTAAGTTCACATGTTCGAATCTCTATTCATGCAAAAATTGATTTTGTGTTTTTCGATAGTTTTAGTTTAGAATACTATAATGGAATATTTTTCCGCTTTTATGCTGACAGAATAAAGCTTATATCATATCAAGGATAATGATACTGTAGTCAAGAGTTTGACATATCACAAATAAAGTGTCTTGTGTTAATCTTCGTGTCACCCGCGTACCTTTAGGATTTTCGAAAAGCAGTCTGTAAGATGAAAGTTTTTAATAAAAACTTGTGTGTCCCGTAGTGTGGATTGATACCTTAGAGTGCTTTCCACATACGCACAAACCCGACTTCTCAATCTACTATGGTTTAGATCACCATCGCTTTTCTTACGGACCCCAAGACTGGTACTTGGAAACTTCGGGTAACCTGAAAAGGTTGGTTGCAGATCATTTAGAATTTCCTAGCACTCTTCATTTTTAAGAGAAAGGGAATAATAGATAACATAAATTATGTTGTAAATATCCTAGGAGCCGGTGGATATAGCGTTACTCTAATATATACATATGCAAAACAAACTCGTGATGAGGGAAGTGGTTAAGTACAGTCGCTGCAAGGTCTGAGTAGCCGGAAAATTATGAGTACTTTAACGGATGCGCAGGATGAGTACCTATCTGAGGATTTATGGAGTATAACACTCAAAAATTTCGTTAGAGCTCAGTTCAGCAGTCTCCTTAAACGTTTAGATAGCTGAGTGCTCGTTGTATGAGTACTTTCTGAGGTAAGGAAGGGCTCCTTCACGTATCATCTAAAGCAGTTTCGTATCGATTCTCTTATCTCAGGAAAAAAATCACAACTGTTGTAATGGGAGAAAAAGAACAATGAGAGTAACATTGCACAAAACAAAAACAGTTTTCGAACAAAAAGGTCGCAGGGTGTAATGCTCTTCGGATTCAAAGAATAGGTTTCTCCTTTTCAAGCTATACTTCTCTTCATATATAAAACTGAAATCTGAAAAATTAGAAAAAAGAAAGTTTTTTCTTACATGCGTGGGCTGCAATAAACGTGTTACATTAGAAAGTTGTTCTAGACTAACTTTGAAGCAGCTAGTCCGATGAACCTAAAACTTGGTCTGCAGATGGTTCAGACCATGCTCTTTCTTTTGTCCAGCAGAAAGTTTTTCCAAAACCATCAGAAGTAGGGTTTCCACAAAAACGGGTTTTCTGACATACAAGGTACGAGAAAAATGACTTTTAAAACATACTATGCACCTAAAAGACTTTTTGAAGGATACATTCGCATTCAGCATCGGAAGGCGAATATTCTAAAAAAGTTTTGAGTCTTTAAACTCATAATTTAGATTTATAAATTAAGTTTAAAATCTGAATAAGACGTCGATTGTCCTCTTATGCTGCAGGGTGTTTTGCTTTTCTCAAATTTCTATTTTGAAGTGAATTTCGTATAAAATAATCGTGGCTGAACGAATTTCTGCTGCGCGGAAATTGCCAGTTATGTAGTATTCTAACGAGTATATAGAATTGTCTAGAATCACATCGAATAGAAAACGTTCGAATAGAAAAGTGACTTATATATGCAGTACCGAAGTCGTGAGTGTAGCATCGGAAGCTGTCAATAACGGAAGAGTAGACCAGTGAGAATAGAAGAATTGTACGAATTATGGTTATTATGATTTAAGTAAATATATATATATATATATGAGAATGATTCTTATAAAAATAGTACCGCTTTTGTGAAAAAAATTTGACCCAAGCATAAGGTAAAGACCTAGGTTTTTTCTTATCATATATCGATAGTGTGTACCTAGGAGTATCACAATACACGGGTTAGCAAACTACTACTAGTACTATCTGGTGGTATATGGTGTACTATCTGTGATCGTCATGCAGAATGTAAGCAACAAAAAAGCAGATGTGCAAAGCACAGCAGCGAATCATACTCTGGCTGTACGCATTTATTTTTAATCTTCAACGCACATTACATACACTTACTGTGTAATAAAAAAGAAAAAGCAGATCCATGACGCATGTATGCGTCTCCCGTCCCGAAAGGGTTAATGAATTACTCGAGATATTAGTAAATAACTTAGTGAAAAATGTCTGCTCGGTGAAAAGTAGACTTGCCCAATTTTGCGGAAAAATGACTTAGTCCAAAGAAAATGGATTTTTTCTGAATGATTAGACCCTCACGTTTCAAATAAGTGAAACGCTTTTTTCCTCAAGAAAAATAAATATACCCACATATGAGAACAGAATAAATTCTCTTCTATTTCTTTTCATAATATAAAGCATCTAACGTAATACCTTTACCACTTCCTTTATACCTTTACACTCATTATTTGCTCAGATAAAGAAGCATTATAAAAAGCCAAAACTTGGTAGAATACAGCGAACGTTCTCTATCGCAAATCTGTTCCGATTTATCACTTCGGTTTTATAATACAAAAATCTCAGTGGATAACTGTTATTTAAATGACCGGGTTAAAGTAAGAATATTGAGGATTGTCATGTGCGCAAATGTGCATCAGTCGTCGTTCTTACTTAAAGAAACATTTTGTATAAATATTTCTGTATCGTAGATAAGAATAAGCTAGAAAAATATGAAATCAAGACAGGTGCTTCTTTGTGATGATGATAAGGACACTTCTGAAATATGACTGAAAATTTGTTGACTTTTACTTTTAGTTTTTCCATCAAAAGTGATCCACTTATGAATATATGCAATGATAGAAAACCTATGCTTATTCTAGTGACAGGAGCCACAGGAAATGTAGGGCGTTATGTGGTAAATAAACTTGTAAAGGCTGGTGTAAAGGTCAGAGCGCTGACACGTAATCCTGCCAAAGCTAACCTACCGTCTGATGTTGAAGTTGTGTCAGGAGATCTTGCTCAATCGGAGACATTATTGCCCGTACTGGAAGGTGTAGCACGCTTGCTCCTTTTTCCAATTGCTTACAAAGCCCCCGTATCCACGTCTGAAGAAGATTTTGTTGAGACTACTTATGTGGTCTCGTTGGCGAAACAAGCAGGTGTACAGCGGATTGTTGTGTTGTCTTCCTCAGGATCACCATTTGTCAACGTAGAGCAGGCAGTGGAGGCATCGGGAATGGAGTGGTCACATTTACGGCCTGGTGAATTCATGCTAAACAAATTGGATCCCTGGGCTGCCTCCATACGTGCTGAAGGGATAGTCAGAAGTGCGTATCCTGACGTCCCAGTGGTTTCTATCCATGAAGAAGATATTGCAGATGTGGCTGTGTCAGTACTGCTGGAAGATGGTCATTCAGGAGCAACGTACACACTAACAGGACCAGAATCAATTAGCGAACGCGATATGGTGGGTGCTATCGAAGCGAGCATTGGGCGAAGCATCCGAATTGAAAAACTGACACACGAACAGGCACGAGATAATATGATTCGAGAGGGATTGACTGAAGACATCGCGAACTACATGCTAAGTTACTACGAGCGATGGAGCAATGAACCACCAAAAGTGCTACCTACTGTTGAACTGTGTCTTGGTCACAGGGGACGTAGTTTCGCACAGTGGGCTGTAGATCACGCAGAAGACTTTAAATGATTCATTAACGCTATTTCTTCATTCTGTCTATGTTAGAATTTACGTGATATTACACAAACATTTGCGTCATATACGATGTAATGATACAGCCAACTGTACTGAACAATCTGTCAGCTGCCACATGTTGCTGGAATGCAAAATATACGTTTTACTAATCTTTGAAATTGAGGAAAATGCGATTCATAATTATACTAAAAATATAATGGATTGAAAACATCCCATTGGAACTTTCAAAAAACAATGGAAAATTACTTCACATCAATTTCAGAGGCCAAATTAATTTAAATTCGTTTGTAGGAAACTAGTTTACATCAATTTCGCAGTGAAAATGAATTGGAATTAATTTCTAGGTTAAAATTAGTTCCAATTAGTTTGAAAAGACATTAATTTAAATTAGTTTTAACTAAACTGGTTTGAATTAATTTATTTCGAATAAATTCGACTTAATTTCGTGCTTTAGATTGCTTCAAATTAATTTCTACTCTCAAATTCATTTAGAGTAATTTATTTCGAATGAGTTCAAGATCGTTTTAATCCCTCAAATTGATGTAAACTAGCTTCGATGGCTCAAAATTCATTTAAATAAATGTTTTTGTAATAGATTTGTAATTATTTTGATAACATAAATTAGTTATAATTAATATTGAGAGTCGAACTTAGTATAGATGCGAATTCTCCTTCCGCCGGAAGAATTCCGCAGCCATTTTTTGAGCTAGAAATTTCCAATTGGTTCCAATAAATCGATGAGAGTTTTTTATGCTAGTTTTCTTCCCTCAGTACGAAACGCGCTACGTTAAGTCCTCCCCACTCAGAAACCTACTTTCGTCCACGAACATTCAACTTCGATGAAAATTTTAGACAATGTGTAGCCGCCATGTTTTGAGCTAGAAATTTCGAATTGGTTCCAAAAAATAGAGAAATGTTTTTTCTATGTCGTGACGTCGTTGGATTTCTCAATTCAAGTTTAGTCTAGGAGGAATTTAAAAAGTTTCTGACAAGTTAGAGAGATTTTATTTAGAAAAGGCATTTGTTGTGAAAAAGCAATGTTTTGAAATCAATCCGAAATTTCTAGCTTGAAAAATGACGGAGATATCTTGGAAGTATGAAACGCTATAGTCATAAAAGAGATTTGGAGAAAAATGTGAAACAGGTTTACGAAATGAAAAACGAAGAAGGAAAGAAATACAATAATACTTCACCATAGGACGGCATTTTCAGTCGAAAAACCAAAGTCTCCAGGCATGGGCGAGTCCGGGAGGGACCGAGTCCGAGCCGAGTCCGAGTCCTCAAAAATTTATTCCGAGTCCGAGTCCGAGTCCCTAACATTAAGGACCGAGTCCGAGTCCGAGTCCGTTTCGAGTCCGGTAATCTTTTAGATTCTTTTTTGATGATTGTGGTTCATTTCTTTTTTTTCTGTGCCATTTAATATATCAATCTTGTTGAAACAGAAAAAAGTTATTAAAGTAAACTTCTATTACATTTTAACAATGCCAGTTGAGATAGATTATTTTTCGTAAAACGTGCTCTTTCGCGTCTAATCAAAAATCCTGATTGAGAAAAAATACGCTCAATGGGTGCCGATGTAGCCGGAACACATAAAAGTTTTCTAGCTAATTTACTGAGACCTGGATAGATATTCGATTTTTCGAAAATAAGACTACTTTGAATGCCCGTCTCGCGCATAAAATTTTCAATTTCTTGTGAAACAGAAGTTGTTGTTATTTCAGCTTTCAGTTTTTTTGATGAAGAAAGATTAGATAAATGCGGAAACAGTTGTTTCCTTTTTACTGAATTGCTAGTCACTCCTCCTGTGAGTTTCGGTACAGCAGCATTTCCTTCGTTTTTTTTAACTACATTTAACTCAATACATGTATCACAAACTAAATTTTTTATTTTTCTTATTACACGTTCTTTTTCTGTGTCCTCTATATTTGATTCTTCTAGCCAATGCATTTTAAACCGTCCATCAAGAATTGGACTAATCAAGAATATGGAGTCTTTATAATGATCAGCAGTTGTTGCTTTCTTGTTTACATATTCGCTCATATCAAATGATAACATTTCATAGAATCCAAAAAAACGTGTTTTTAAACTGTCAATTAACGCTTTACATAACGATTTTGTATAGATTAGTTTTCCTTGTTCATGTTCCAAATCATTTAATATACTTAATAAACAAGGACCAACAAGACTTATCGTTGGAGAATTTTCAGCCTGTGTTTGTATGGTTGCTTCATTGAATAAATAGAATAACGAAATAAATTCATCGATTATTATTTTATCTCGTTGTGTTAACATTAATTGAGATTTATTTAATTCATATAAAATAATATTCAATTTATCGATATCGATTTGAACAACTTTTGTTATTGTATGAAATTGACTATTCCATCGAATATTTGTATTTGATGGTATTGTAGCTTTTAATATCTCAAGACGTTCAGCAAAAACTGTACTTGTATGTGAAAATTTAGCAATTTTGGCTATTTTTGTTAATGACGATTTGACTGCAGCTGAATTTTTGATACCGTCGTTAACAACAAGTTGTAGAGTATGAGCGAAACATGGTATTCGCTTAAAATCAATCGTCATTAATGCTTCATCTATCGCTTCATTTAAATCATCGTTTATTTTATCCGAACCAGCTGTATTCGAGGTAGCGCTATCATCATACTCGCATTCATCACTCGCTAGAATGTACAAAAATTAGTCAACTTTGTAATAAGAGAAAAATCGTTAAGAAACAATGATCAAATAATATGTGAATACTCACAATCTCCATTATATTCAACTTCTTCATTTTCTTCTTTGAAATATTCTTCAAATCCTGGCAGTATCAGCTTATCGAATGCTTTTATCATATTAGATGCGTTATCTGTGACTAATTTGACCAACTTTTTCTGGATAGAATAAAACTGAAGAATTTTTTCAAACTCACTAATTAAATTTTCACCTGTATGACGGCCAGCAAGTGGAAGAAACGATAACAAATAAGATTTATTTTGTTTATCAATAATTGTGTGCAATGTGACGCCCATATACGATCTTAAACGTCTATCAGACCACAAATCCAACGTTACAGAGACATCCTCTGCATTATTACATATGACTTTTAACTTTTTTAGCATTGCATCATACATTTTTGGAATTTTATCACGAGTTATTGTTCGACGACTAATGATAGAATATTTAGGATCAAGTTTATTCATGAAATTCTTAAAACCAGTTCGTTCTACAATAT